CAGCTGGCAGGTGCTGCCAAACCCACTCCGGAAGCCCTTCAGGGAGAGCGCGGAGTCGCTCCTTTGATGGCAAAAGCTCCTGACTGAGCAGATAAAGAAACTCCTGCCTTGGTAAACACTCCTGCAAGGTGAGGCCGGAGCCCGTCAGGCGCTCTGTCTTACAGGGCCAGGTGCATGCGGATACCCTGGAGAGCGCACGTCAGCCAAAAAGAGCCAACCAGGGACCTAGCCTGCACCTGCAGAGGGAGCAGCTGCGGAGGACGACAAAACAGGACAGTGACAGTACTGGGTCATGCCCAGCAGGAAGCTGCTTTGCTCATCTGTTCCTCTTGGGCCCATCAGCATCCACTGCCAGCGAGCGCATCCTGGACCACATCTCAGCCCATTCGCTAGTGCAGCAGGGTGTTTACATCTCTCCACCAGTGGAGAGACCCCTGAAGAGTGGCTCTGGGCTGGGAACACCACCCTAGCCTAGCTCTTACCCAGCACTTTCCAGCCAAGACCTCAAAGTGCTTTAACAAATGAAGGTCAAAATCACCCCAATCATACAGATGGGGAAACTGAGGCAGAGAGCAGGACAGTGACTTGCTTGAAATCACCCCAGCAGGCTAGTGGCAGTACCAGGCGCACAGAACCGAGATCTCCCAAGCCCCGTGTTCAACACACTGTCACAATGCCTGCCATAAGAACAGCCACTCCTGGGCTCTGCCCGTGGCCTAGTGGGTGAGCTCAGGCAAGTCACTTTTCTGCTCTGTGCCTCAGTTTCCCCATATGTAAAATGGAGATGATTTTGACCTACTCTTTTTTTTAATAAAAACACTTTGGGAGCTGAAAGGCTACACGTGTCCAAAAATTGCTAGAATTAGATCTCTGGTCTCCATCCGAAGACCTCAAAGATGCACAGTAGGGTACATTTAAAGAGCAGCCAGTCAACAGACACAGTCCTGCCCCAACACCAAGTGCTCCTTGTAGCCTAAATGCTGCCCTGAGTACCGGATGGGGGGGCGGGGGGCACAGTGCAAGAGTGTATGTGAAGGGGACTCGGCTTCCTTTTGGGGGCACCTACAGCCCAGATGGTCAAGAAAATTCAACTGAGGGATTTGAGAGGAGCTCTGCTGGAGGGGAAAAAAAAAAAAAAAGTCTGGCTCTGGGAGACGCAAAGAAACTGAACAAACAGCTTTGTAAGCAGGCAACCACCACAAGATAAACACGTCACAGCACCTGTGCCCGGCTTTTCTTCTGCTGGGAGAGCAGAGACAGATCACCCGTAAACAAGGGGTCGCTAGGTACAGCCAGAGCAGCAACCTGGGTTTCAAAGGACTAAGCTAGACAGTACCTGATATAAAGAGCTTCTTGGCTGGATTGTAGAACGAAGTGAATGAGGAATACAGCACAGTAAACAGAAAGGGATTTTTGTATTAAAATAGCATGGCACCAGCCAACACCGAGGCCCCACTGTACGAGGTACTCTATAGATACAGAGCAGAGCCTTAATCCTGATGAACCTGCCATCCAAGGCCAAGAACACAGGGTAGGAGAAAGTTACTCCCTCCGCGCCTGTATGTAAAATGGAGTCCAAGATTAAGGCTCAGGTGTTCAGTGAGGTATCAGGCCCTTCACGCCCATTGAGATCAGTGGAAATTAGGCAACCCCATCCCTTTGAGTGGGGCCCCAAATGCCTTTCCTACGATCACGAGGAGCCCTGGGAACAGACCTGAGGTTTCAGGCCAGCACTCTATACCCAGTATCCCACTTGCTGACTAGTCCAAGCCTAAAGCCACGGTCCTGCTGAGCCACGTTTAATCCTTCAGCCCCCCTTGGTGGAGAAGCAGCTCTAACATGCCCTGTAAAGGCTTCTAAGCCCACGCGAGGAGCAGGCCAGCTGGGACTGGTTCGACATTTCAGAACAGGAATCGCTGTTTCCAGTCACTTCCGAGGAGCCTGACAGAACAATGGAGAGGAGGTAGCAATTTGGACATCTGGCACGTTATGGAGGATCCTTGGCCAATGGAGCCAGTCACCACCAATCCATCGTGACTGACTTGTCACCGGGTGACTTATTTGTGGTAGTTCGCTGGAATTAGCTTGGTAAGTCATACTGGGTTTGAGCTGCCCATTAGATAGGAAGGAGGCGGAGGCAAATATACTGGAAATAGGTTAACAGCTACAATCTCAGGATTTTCTTCTTCACTGTCCCTGATCAGGATGTTAAAATGCCTAGCTGGTTAAACATGAACCTTTAGTCATTTTAAGGTCAGGCCTGCCGCCCAGCCCCACAGCAGCTGTGGAGGCCTGACATGGCTGGCAGGGGCGGCCCGTCAATACAGGCGACCTAGGCGGTCGCCATGGACACCAAGAAAAACGGCCATAGAGGGCTTTGGAGGCGGAGGCACCAGTCACACGTTTCACCTAGGGCACCAGTTACCAACAGCTAGTCTAGGGCCGCTCCTGATGGCCGGCAACTACCGAGTTCATGGTCAAGGGTTATTTAACATCCTTAGTCCATTATGGTCCCTTGAAAGTTTGTTTACACACCACCATCATGCCTTCCGCAAACACAGAACAGATATGAGAGATCACAGAGTTCGGTCTTTGGCTTTCAAAGCCGGTAGGACTTCCTAAGCCGGGAGACAGCTGTCTGGGACTTGACTAAATGTATTTGAAGCAAAATGCCCAAAGTCTTGGGAGCATGGTTATAATAGCATAATAGAATGCTATAATAGCATTCTATAGCACTAGAATAGCTTGGCTATAATGGCTAGGGCAGGCCCAGGCAAGATGCAGTCCAGAGGGCCGGATCCCGCCCCGCTAACACTTTGATCTGGCCCCCAGACTGCATCTGGCCACTTTCT